TGCCGAGGCAGATAAGCCCAGCTCATTCTTTCATTCCTTAGTGGTTACCACTCTCTTTTCTTCTCACCACTTGTGATGTAGTTACTCACAGACTATTTTCATCGATGCACTTCATCAGTCAGCAGTCTTTGATGTGATGTATGATGACCTAATTATTATTATTTTTTTGCTTAACAATTAAATACGTGGCATTTCTTATCTTTCCAGTCTTGGTGCAGAAGTGGAGACCAAATCCATTATTTGAGCAAGGGTTTCTGCTTTATCTATCTCTGTATCACTGAAAGAGACCAGAAAGGAGGAATGTTTAATGTTTTAGGAACAGAGTAAACATAAAGCCTTTCTGTAGTATCATATTTCCTGCACTTAATCATGGTCTGGGGTTTTTTTCTTTGGTTTTTTCTTTTTTTTTGTTTGGTTTTTTTTTGTTTTTTTTAAACTTTTATACTTCCATATAAAACTTTTCTAGATGAGTTTCTGACCCCTGCCTTGGGATTCTGGTAGAAGAGTCCTTGGTACCAGTTCAGTGTCTTTTTCTTGCTGTTTCTGTAAGAGATTAGTCAAAGCAGGATAGAAAGATGAATGGAATTGTGTGCAATTAGGGTGCATGTTATATCCTATTCCTTCCTATTGATCTGTAAGCTGTTCCATTGGCTTTCTTTCTGTTTCCTGCTGCTTTCTTGCTTCGTTATTGAAGGGAGGATTCAGACCTATACAGGTAATTTTAACTCCTGGTTCTGCATGGCATAAGTGTCTCTATCACTTGTATCATTACTCCGTTAGTGAATGCATTAATGTTTGATGCATATCTTACCGACTGAGTTTCAAGATTGCAAAGACTCCAGGGCAAGGTCTTCCAGTGCCATGAATGCTCCATACCGTGGATGCTGATGCCTTTTCCCAGCGCGTAAGGGTTGAGAACGGAGCGTGTACCAGCGGGTTGCTTGGTTTCCTGGACCTGGTCCATCTGCGTGGGGCATCACTTCATGCGAACGTGGTAGAAGAGTTTGGTGCCACCCTGGAAGAGGTTGCCACCTTTCTGAAAACGGAGGGCAAGACGAGTCACCCAGCTCAATTTGTATAAAGGATAGGCATGAGGTGCCTCTGGCCTTTGTAAAAATCTGGCTTCTGAGCTGTTCTGGAGGTATATTGGAACAGTTGCCTTGATCTTCTATTTCCCTAGCATATTTATAAAGGTGGCTTTTTTGGCAGTCAACCCACCTTATAAAAAATAGATTTGACAAAATCATTTTTCTAACGTTCGCTCTGAAAGTTGAGCTGTATAATTCGGTAGATACAAACTAATAATTATTGGAGTTTAAAGTTTCTTACCTTTTTCTACCTTGTAAAATAGAAGGCTATTAACATGATCTTGCTATTTACAGATAAACAGAAATTGTCCTGCAGTTTTCTGAATGCGTGGCAACCCTTTGGAAGTAGTTTTATAATTATAATATTGCAATGATATTTCCAATTTTTTCCCAGAAAGCCTGACCGGTTCTTTGTTTTCTCTCCTCTCTCCTTCCTCTCCCCCTTCCATGCCCTAGTTTTTTCAGAGGCCTCAGATACAGCCTCCAAGAGCTACCATCCAGAACAGCAGTCCTTCCATCCGTCCTGGTGCGCAAACGCCGACTGCAGTGTATCAAACCAACCAACACATCATGATGGTTAATCATCTGCCAATGCCCTACCCGATGCCTCAGGGCCCCCAGTACTGTATACCACAGGTAAAAATACATTGTCCAGCCACCTAAGGAACTGCAAAGCAACGTTTGCTCCATCCGGATTTTCTCAAGACCTGCCGCAGAGTTGGGAGGGAGGGGAAATTAAGCTGGTAGTTGCATGTTTAGCCTCTGTCCTTTTTCTGTATGAAGTATTTGTTCTTCTGTGTACGGAGGTGTAAGAATAAATTACCTTTCTAGTTTTTGAGGTCCCCCTCAAAAACAGTGTGAGACTAAGCTCTTGGAATATGTTTAGTGCTGTAAATGTATCTGAATTGACTTAATAGCTCTACAATTACTCTGAAACCTTGGGCCTCAAAAACACTGTATTGCTGAAATCCGGGGAGTGCCTTTTCTACTTCAGCTCTTATGTCCTCCCTTGTCTTGTCTATAGATGACATAGCTTACCTCTCTTTTTTTTTTTGACAGTAACATTTCGAATCTGTAATTAATCGGTTTGATAATCAGATCCCTATTGATTTGGGAGGGCTCGATTTCTGTATGCAACAGCGTGAAGTTGCCCAACTCCTTGTAAACTGATGGTTATTTTTTTCCCTCCTAGTATCGGCACAGTGGCCCTCCGTACGTTGGGCCCCCGCAGCAGTATCCTGTTCAGCCGCCAGGACCAGGACCCTTTTATCCAGGACCAGGTCCTGGAGAATTCCCCAATGCCTACGGTAAGTTCTGCTTGGAGATTTCTTAAAAAGTATTTTCTGGGTGTGTTTTTCTGTTGTCAAGCTGAAGATTTATAATAGCGAAATGGATTAGCATTTGTTTGAACTTCAAATAGCTGCTCAATTTGGTTGTGTCACAGCCCTTATTATTCACTCCTGAAAAATTCACAATAAGAGAGTATTGTTTGTATGAGCGCTTAAGGAAAGACTGCAGCTCACAGAGCTACCCGTAATCACATGTGAACAAGAATAGTGGCTATTTGTTATTCCCTGCTTGATCATTATTATTTATTAAGGTATTGTGAATACATCTGGCAGCCCTGGTTTCCATTGAGCTATGCCCTGAATATGTTCACAGCAATACAGCAGTTAACATTTCTTATCCCTGCGTTCCTTGTTCAGCGTTCAGTGAAGGAAAAGAACAAGCCATGTGGTTTGATTCACTGGTCTTATGCTGCAAAGATCATGTTAGTCCAATCGAAGAGTTTGTAACCCAAGCACAGGCTGAAATTTTCCTTTTAATGGGCAACTCCTGGTCTTGCCTTTTCTCAAGCAAAAGGGTTGGGAGATTGCCCAACATTGTTGTGTGTGCTGTGGTTGTTTGGCACGCTATATTCAGTATATTTGATTGGCTTCTCCAGGTATTGAGCTTCAAAGCTGCACCTAAAAATTCAGAGGCTGCATGTCCAGTGCTGGGCATCCCTCCTGTCCACATCTCACCAGTCCTTCACTCCTCCAGAACCTCTCACTGGGGTCCCAGTTTGCAGACCCCATGTCCTCCAGTGTCCTATGACGCCTCTTCTCTTGGCAATCATCTTTTACATATAAGTAATTAAGTCCTTTCTTAATAATTTCCCGTGCGTTGCCATGTACAATATATATCATATTTGCATCACAGTCCCCTATAAGGTTTTCTGTGGGATCTGTGTTTTGATATTTAAAACAAATCAGGTCCTGCAAGCTGTATTTGAATGAGATGCAGAATTAGGTATCTTGCAGTCATGTATATCACTTCTCTTTTTTTATTTATTTATCTTTCCTTGCTCATTTATGGGAACACTTGAAAAATCCACCAGGATGATTCTAGTCATCACCCTGTGGTATGGGTTGGTTTTTTTTTTAAAGGGTTTTCACACCTCGATATCAAATTTGAGGTATTTTGTTCAGTCTGATTGCTACCTGCCCACGCGCATTCTGTAATCTGTTGGAGGCAGAGATACTATCAACTTCCCGTGCGGCTTTAGCTGTTGGTATTTCAGAGCATTAGAAGTGAATGATTACCTTCTAGGCTGAACAATGACAACCTGTACCGTTGGCAGAATTGCATGTTTGCTCTTCACAAATACAGATTCCTTTTAAAGGCGAGAAAAGCCCCAGTTGCTTCCCTGCTTATCATTTTAAAAGGTCTGGACGCTTTCCCCCCCCCCCCCTTCTTTTTTTTTTTTTTTATTTATTTGGTATATATAGAGCTAGTGGGACTACTTTGAAAGGTTGCCATGAAGCCTTCAAACCTGGTTATGCAATTTCTGAATAAAAGGAGAGAGAGCAATTATAAGGCAGCTAGTTCCTCTTTGCTTATCCTGGAAAAAATAAAGAGAAGAAATATTGCAATGGCTCTTCAAATCTGATCCGCTAAATGAGGAAATTACCCAGTATTCCTCATTTTTTCTGCTGTTACAGGTCTGCTTTCTTACTTTGTGCTTGCTTAGTGCCGTTTGTCTGTCTTCGCTTCTGTAATTTGGAAATGTTCCCTTCCGATTCCTTTCCACTCCTGAAAGCGCCTGGTTTCTTGCACAGAGGCTTGTAATCTTTCAGTCCCGGCTTGTTTTTTAGGTTGCTGTGTCTGCAGAGCATCAGTGGGCGAAGCTGGAGCCCTCTGTCACGCAGAACGTTTTCCAGGCAGAGAAGGTTTAGCCGAGGAAGAGGATGATTGCAGGTTTGCCTGTACTCATCCACCTTTCCCTCCTGTTGCTTCCTTGCTATTTATATAGGGACTGGAAATGTTCAGTCTCTCACCAGGCGCTGCTCATGGCGTTGGGAGACAGCAATATTTACAATACAGGCATGGATAATGCTGCTGGCAGTGGCCTTTCCCATAAACCTCAGGACTTCGTAGCCAGTGTGGCTGCTAGACATCAAAATGATCGCAGTTTGGCAGGCTGTAAAGAAGGTGATAAGGGAAAATACTGCAGAAGACAAAACTTGTGAAGGTGGACAGTGCATTTTTTTTAACCGTCTCAGTTTTGCAATTTATCGTTCTCTTTTGTATCAGTGAGTTTCCGTGCTACATTGGGAAAGACCTTGAAATGATGAGTGGAAAGGAAGGAGAAAAAAACTTGGGTGCCGCTGAACT